ACTCAAGTTACTACAAGGCATCGCCAGGACCTGCCTGTGCCACACATCACGCTTCGTTGAAAAGCGTGCAAACACAAAAAAAAACACGAAGGCTGTCTGTATCTGGTGTGGGCCAGATCAGCCTCAAGGAGAATGCGCGAGACTGCGATGGAAGCCGAACCTGCTTTTCTTGTTTTACCGCAAAGAAAGTCTGTGCGGTGAATGCAGACCCGATGTCTGGTGAGGACATCTGCACACCTCCGGTAACTATTGATGCCGGTCAAGGACGGTCCCATAAGGAGTCACTGTTTTCGACCGTGTCATCTTTGTGGGTTAGGGTTCAAGGTTTAGGATTCGGGGTTTAGGATTCGGCACGTTGGTTCTAAATGTGGAAGGGGGAAAAACCCGGAGGACCCGGAGAAATATCCACGCGACCACGGAGAGAGAGACACACACAAACTCCAAATATACAGCAGTCGTCAGGGTCGGGATCGGACCCACGACCTCCTGTATACCAGGCGAGGCAGTTAACATCTCACCATGGGGAAGAGAGACACGCAAACTACAAATATACAGCAGGCGTCTGGGTTGGAATTGAACCCACGACCTCCTGTATACCAGGCGAGGGAGTTAACATCTCCTAGCCACGGTGACTGCCCAGTAGCAGCAGCGTCCTTCACTGAGCCTCCTCCGCAGAGGCCGACCTTGACACCGCCGCTCTCCGACAAGCACACTTAGCTCCTCACTCCTCCAGTACCGCATCAGCTTCCATCTCTTCTGCAGCGTGCATGCACGCACGCACGCACGCGCACTTCCTTCTCACCGTACGTGGCTAACCGTGACACCTCGGAGAGGCGTGCGGTGTGAATGAAGTTCAACATACAGTACCTGAACCATGAAAACCTGCTTCCTGCAATGTCAGTGCGTCCTGCCCCACACCCAGACGTCGTGTTGATTGAGAGGCTGGGCGTGTCGTGTGGTTTTAAAAAAAAATTCTTAAATGTTCCGACAGTGAAGTGACTACACACATTGCGGGGGGGGGGCAGTGCAGGATGAAGCTAGTGCGGGGCCTGTAGCTTATGTTGTTATGAAGGGGCCCTAAATAAAATAAAAACACGTAAATATTAAAAGGCCGTAATTATAGTATATCTGTTGGGGGGGACACATTCCCTCAAGTTTTAGATTTGAAGCTTTCGTGACTGCAAGGATTCATACTCTTTGGATTTTTCGGTAAAGTCACGTAGGTAAAAGATAAAATAATTAAATAAAATACGATAAATGCTTTCATTTATTTTATTTTTTACCTACGTGACTTTACCGAAAACCCACAAAGAGTATGAATCCTTGCAGTCACGAAAGCTTCAAATTCCAAAACTGGGGGGGGGGGTGTCCCCCCCAATATATATACTATAATTACGGCCTTGATTCTAAATGTGGAGAGAGAGAGAACAGGGGGGGTAGAGAGGGGGGGGGGGTACATAAAGCAAAGATTAAAACAAAAATGATGAACGAAGCAAAGTGCCGACTACACCGGGCATCTTCTTCTTTCCTCTGATCGTAAAAAAAGAAAACACGCAGACTCCAAACATCCAGCAGCAGGCATCGTCAGAGTCGGCTGTGGCCAGCTACTTGCTCGCCACGACGGGAGGGCTTCAACAGAGAGCGAGTTCGTGTTGCTTGTTGCTGTTCCCCCCACCTCTGTTGAAGGAGCCGCAGACCGCAGTGGGTTTACTGTGAGTCTCTGCGTACCACTACGGGTCTCTATGAGCATATATAGACCTCAATGGGGCTCTATGTATATACATGCATCCCTATGGGTACCTATGTATCTCTATGTATAGGCATGTATCTCTATGGGTCTGTATGTATCTCTATGTATAGACATGTATCTCTATGGGTCTCTATGTATCTCTATGTATAGGCATGTATCTCTATGGGTCTGTATGTATCTCTATGTATATCTATGGGTATCTATGTAACTCTATGTATCTCTATGGGTCTCTATGTATATACATGTATCTCTATGTGTCTGTATGTATCTCTATGTATAGGCATGTATCTCTATGGGTCTCTATGTATCTCTATGTATATACATGCATCTCCATGGGTCTCTATGTATCTCTATGTATAGGCATGTATCTCTACAGGTCTGTATGTATCTCTATGTATAGACATGTATCTCTATGGGTCTCTATGTATCTCTATGTATATACATGCATCTCCATGGGTCTCTATGTATCTCTATGTATAGGCATGTATCTCTACGGGTCTGTATGTATCTCTATGTATAAACATGTATCTCTATGGGTCTCTATGTATCTCTATGTATATACATGCATCTCCATGGGTCTCTATGTATCTCTATGTATAGGCATGTATCTCTACGGGTCTGTATGTATCTCTATGTATAGACATGTATCTCTATGGGTGGGTGAATTGACGATTCCACCGGTCAGTGTCTTCGAGAAGGAGGAGGAAGTGAAAGCCAGGAGGAGAGGCGATGGTGTTTGGGTCTCGAATGAGGAGGTGTTTAATCTGAACGTCTGCGTTGGATCTGGATGATATGTGTAAGATGCTGTTGGTTGGTGGAGGGCTTAGGTTCAAACGCTGACATTACACCCACAGGATATAACAAAAAATGAACCAAATATTAATCATATTGGTCGTGAAAGCCTATTAGCACGATCGGCGACGTACGGTGCGAAATAAGTTCAACATCCTTGAACCATGAAAGCCTGCTGATGTAGTCAAGGAGCATAAACCCATCACACGAACTCCGCTCATCTTTGCAGCAGCAGCGGCTTCTGGCTTAGCCATCGAACAAAGGCGGCGGGCGGTCACCGCTGCATCGCGCGGCGCTTTCGGATGCGCTTTCTGCGGCCGTCTGGAACAGCTCTTCCCTTCCGATGTCAGGAAGCCTGGAGCTGTGCACTTTTACTGGTAGGAACCTCCTGGTTACACCAGCCCACAGGGGATTATTGTGTCCGTCGTGCAGGGAGGGGCTGGGTGGGGAGGGGAGGGTGGGGAGGGGCTGGGTGGGGAAGGTGGGGCTGGGTGGGGGGTGGGAGGAGTGGGGCTGGGTGGGGAGGGGCTGGTCACCCCGTCGTGCCCATATAAAACTCAACATTTGACCTACTCACGCCGGCTTGTGCCCGCCCTCACAGTCGGGCATATTTGCGGAATACACCACGCCGCCGTTGACCCTGGCCATTGACCGAGCAACCCAATGTTCCTACCAGCTCCCTCCGCAGGAATGTGTTAAATCATCATCATCTAGATTGACAAACGAATTTAATTAGAACTGGAATTTTGTGTTTAGTCTGCTTGTCATTACCCCGCTCCTCCGATGAGCGCGGTTGGCTACGTACGCTGCGAATGATGTTCAAAATGCACACATGCAATGTTGTAGCTCCTCACCCGAGCTAAACATGCCCTGACAGTGAATTGTCTTTGTGCTGTTCGCGTTTGTGGCACATTGGGGAGCGCAGCTGGTGCATCTGGCAGTCATCTCAGTCAATCCGTCATAGCACCTGGAGGGTCTGTCCCGCGACCTCCTGCCAGCAGCGAGCCTTTCGACACTTCACGTGGCCTCAAGGTGCACCTACCCTGGCACCAAGCGCCGTTGGTGACGTTTCCGCCACTTATTTGTGAAGAGCGGTTCCTGTTGTAGTCGTAGTCGTATGTACCGGTGTGAGGTCGTGCGTTCTGTTGTTGAGTTACCAAATTTCGATTTAAAGCTTTCGTGACTGCAGGGATTCATCTTCTTGGTTGTTTCGGTAAAGTCACGTAGAAGGGAAATAATAAAATAATAAAAATAAAACATTATAAAATTTCGATTTAAAGCTTTCGTGACTGCAGGGATTCATCTTCTTGGTTCTTTCGGTAAAGTCACGTAGAAGGGAAATAATAAAATAATAAAAATAAAACATAATAAAATAATTCTCCCGACGTTTCGGCCACAACGCAAGCAGCCGTTCTCAGGTGCAGCCGTCCTCAGGTGAAGAACAGGTCTGTTTTTTTATTATTTTATAATTTCCCTTCTACGTGACTTTACCGAAAGAACCAAGAAGATGAATTACCAAATGTTTTTCCGTAGAGCCAGACTACAACCCTCATTCTCTCTCTCTCTGCTCGTGAACCCGAGCTAGAAGTAATCTGACACTCCACATTTTGCCTCTGTGCTGTTCGCCTTTCAGCGCTCTTCTCTGCTCTAACACTGGTGGTGAGACGAGGCCATGAAGGAGGAGGCTGTCTCTCTCGTGAAGGCCAACCAGTTTCAAAGACAATGCGTCATTTACTACCAGAGCCATGTTTCTGTTTGCACGATCACCGCAAATACTGTGTGGTTAGTGCAGTAACATGATTCTTGGCAAAAGGGGCCGTCCATAAAAGACGTCACGCGATTTTGGACGATTTTTCACCCCCCCCCCACCCTCGTCACACGGCGTCACAAGAAGTCAGACCCCCCCCCTCAAATATGACGTCACAAAGCTCTGCCCCCCCCAAATAAAACATCGCTTTAAACTATTGTCATTGTGGTGCGTATTTAATGTGGCGCTGCACTCTAATGTTGTAGGAGAAAACATTTATTGAAAAGTCTATTTAATAAAGTAGAACGTGTTGTCTATATTTATTTAAAGTTTGCGCATTTTGACGCGACGTCACATTTCTCAACCCCCCCCCCCCTCGTCACACATCGTCACAAATGTCTGACCCCCCCCCCCACCTAGGTTCGTGACGTCATTTATGGACGGCCCCAAAGGGATCTTTTCTTGGTGTTTGAACATCTGAACACAACTGTTTTAATGCCAGAAAGGGTCAACCCTCTTCTTATATTCTTATACACACATCACGTATGCAATTATCCTGCCAGATGTCGTTTGTTTTGCTACGGAGATCCGCATATCAATGCATCCGCTCACCTTGAGGCATCTTTCACGCATTACGGCTCCATCTCTCTGAGCAATCACCGTCTGCGAGCCGTTCATTGCAGACAACAGAAACAGATTTCCACGCAATACTCGCGGTCTTTCTCTCGCTTTATTCCACAACCGGTGACATCAACAGGCGAAGAGTATTCGGACACGCGCACAGCCAACTCCGAATCAACCTCAACCGCTTTATTTGTGATTACAACAGTAGCAGCACATGATGTAGATTGTTGTTGTTGTTGTTTTTCCCCTCCTGGGACACCACACAAGGCCGCTCAGATGTTCAAATTTGAATGACCTTCAACCCGGCGAGGGTGCCGTGTTGATCTCTCGGTGGGGATGATTTGCGGGACGTGTTAAGCTTTAAGTTGTTTGATTGTTGTGTACGATTGCAGTTCAACTCGGGATTAAAAATAGTGGCCGTGACGTACGGTGTTGAGCACTGCGCAGCTGGAAACACACCAGATATATTTTGTTCACTTAATCCCACATTTGAATGTAAGGGTACACATTTGTTCGGCTTCCTTGAATCAAACATTTTAATCATCCAAGTCGATATTTATTTGTTATTATCATTATTCGTATTTTGTGCCATCAACCTAATCAATCGACGATCGTTTAAGAGTGGAGAAACGCAAATCGATGTTTTTGTTGTTGTTGTTGAAAATAAAAATCAACGACGGGCGCCGTCGTTGATTGGCCGAAGTGAGAAGTTGAGACACAAAAACTCCGAATCGTCCCTTGGGCTCGTGGTCGGTGGTGGCGGTGGTGTTGTCGGCGGAGGTGGTGGAAGTGGCGGCGTCGATCACTTGTTCTTGAAGGCACCGACGAACTCTGTGGCGAGAAGGAGGATGAGCGATAGTGATCATCGGTGAGACGGATTTTTTAGTTTGTTTTGTTTTAGCTAAATATTATTCTGCAATTTATATGTTCGTATTGAGAGACGGCACCTATTGCCCAAGGCTGGCGCTTAACGCAGTTTAGAAAAGGGCAGCCGAGACACGAGAATTATTTCGATGGCACGCGGACGAACTGCAAGAGTTGAGGAATGGGTGACCGCGTAGCGATCGCGAATGGGTTGGGGCGAGGAGAGGGGAGGGGGAGAGACAGAGGATGGGCGATGAAGAAGAGGTGGTGAGGAGTGGAAGGAGGTTAAGGATGGGGGCGCGGTGTGTAAACATCGTCACTGGGGAGACAAAGGCGGCCCGGTCGTGGCCACACACCCTCCTCGTGTATCGTGCCGGCCTTCGTAGGTGCTGCTCGATTAACACTTAACATCACTTGCCCCAACAGTCTGGTTGAGGCTACACGGGGTGGGAGTGGATCTTTGCGTGTGTACACGCGGACACGGACAACACAATTGGCAACGAGACGAAGACAATAACATCGTTTCATTTAAAACAAACGCCGACAGCTCTCGGCTTCCTCGTAACTCGATATAGCCCAATTGTTTGGTAGCTTCAGCATCAGAATATTGCGTCTCTACTGGAGGAAACCGATGAGCTGTCAAGATGTATTTATTTGGTTGTTCTCTCCAGATGTCCATCAATACTTGGGTTCCTCCTGGACGTGTGGCCGTGATGATTGGGGCAACGTGCCATATTATTATACATTTCTTCTTCTTCTCCTCCTCTCTCGTTATTTGTGTATTCATCTATTTTTTGTGGTTTGTATTTATTTGCTAAGTGGTGGGGGTTTCGTGGTTTCTTTGTGTGTGTGTGTGTCATCCGTGGAAGGCGACTGGCGAATCGATGTGGCAGCATCGGTGGTGGGGAGGAAATCGCACGAATGACGGTCCATTAAAATGAAATCATCATCATAATTTTAACACGTAGACTGTCGCGATCAATATCATAAGAGTTTTTTTTGGGTTAGATCGCGTAAATATATAATTGTTGTTAAACCCGACAACACCCGACAGCCAATTAGTAAGGGTTGTCACGTAAACAGATCGTGGCCAATTCGTCACTAGTACAGCACTAACCGGTGTGTTGGAGAGCCAAGCCACAACATTTACAATCTGAGTACGACGTTTGGCCAGTAATTACAACCAGCTTCATCAGGCGACAGCCAGATTTGTCACTCAGATTCTAAATGTTGTGGCTTGGCTCTCCAACACACCAGTGTGTACTAGTGACGAACCCTTACTAGTTGGCTGTGTCGGGTGGTGGCGGGTTTAACGACGCATTTATATATTTACGCGATCTAACACCCCCCAAAAAACAACCTATATTATGGATCATCATCATCATCATTATTTATTGTTACAACAGGAGAAGTTATGGTGTGCGTGGCCTGCTCACCGTTGATGTCAATCTGTCCGTCGCCGGACTTGTCGATGGACGCCACGATCTTCTTCACCTGGTCCAGGGGAATGTCATGGCCGATGCTCTTCAGGGCTTCCTGAAGCTCTGCCGCGGACAGCTTGCCCGAGTTATCCTGCACACGGACACACGACCGGATCGCCCGTTCAGCACGAAGACGAAGATCCCACCCACACCCACCACCCCCGTATAGCCTGCCAGGGCACCGGGGGATACTCATTTAAGCCTGAGTCATCCTAGCAACACAAGTAGCTATATATGCTATGGGCTCCCCGCGCTAAATGCTTTCAAGCTATCAATTCCGGTCAAGTGATTGTGCGCTTGCTCTATTACTTTAGTACTATAACGCCTTAAACTTTTACGAACGACCGGGTGTTTAATGTTAGCGATTTGTCGTATTATCTGGCTGTATAGAAAATGAAAAAATACAATTACTTTACTATGCAAGTAAAAAATTTGTGTTTTAATATGTATGTTTATTTATTTATGCGTCAGGCCCCGCACGAGCTTCATCCGGCACTGCCGCCCACCTATCACGATCACTGCCCGCAGGTGTTCCACAGAGATTCACGCAGCCTCACGGCAGCCACCGGCCTCGCAACACGACGGCTCCGCGTGGCATAGTAAAGCTCGCAGCTCACAGTCGCCGTGACACGTGGGGGGTGGTGGTGGTGCAGGGGGTGGTGGTGGTGACAGTGACTGAAAGCGTTGTTACCTTGTCGATAGCCTTGAAGGCTTTGCGGAGGCTATCCTCATTCTAGAGACAACAAGACAACACCGTTATATGCACCAACATCATCACCAACATCACCAACATCATCAACATCAAACATCATTGTCCCTCGACATCGCTACCGCGTGATCTCACCCACACCCACCCACCCCCTCTCTCTCGTTGATCATGATCATTATAATCCACTTGATCACAATCGTAGTAGTACACAGTACTAGTAGTAGTACACAGTATAAGCAGTACACAGCAGAAGCAGTACACAGTGGTAGTACACAGTGGTAGTACACAGTGGTTGTACGCAGAAGCAGTACAACGTCTTACTGTTTAACGACAATCAATCTCTATGAATGGTTTTCCCCCCGTCCGGAGTAAAAACATCGGTGAGTATTGTGAACAAAGTCACGTCGGTATAAAGTGAAAAATAAAATAAATCACGATTTTATTTTAAATTTCGATTTAAAGCTTTCATGACTGCAGGGATTCATCTTCTTGGTTCTTTCGGTAAAGTCACGTAGAAGGGAAATAATAAAATAATAAAATAAAACTTTATAAAATAATTCTCACGACGTTTCGGCCATAACGCAAGAATTCTGAAGAATTCTTCACCTGAGATTGATTTTATTATGTTTTATTTTAATTTTTTTACTATTTTCCTTCCACGTGACTTTACCGAAAGAACCAAAGAGTATGGATTCCTGCAGTCACGAAAGCTTCAAATCAAGATCGATTGTGAACAACTCTCACGACGCCCGCCCTGGCTTACCATGGTTCGGGTGTGGTTGGGACGCTTTGCGATGGTGCACAGAGAAGATTTGGTGGTCACTTGCAGGTGGAGATCCAGGGAAGCTCTCCAGGTTAAATAGGAGTCGGCTTGGGTGTGGCAAGGGCGTGAACTCAGGTGTGTGTGTACACGTGTGTGTGCGTGTGTGGGTGGGGGGGGCGGTGGTGTAGTGGTTAGCGCTACGCTGCGCTATGAACCCGGCGATCCGAGTTCGATTCCCGCTCACGGCCACCACCAAGTGACGATTATCTGAACCGGTTCTGGGCCTCCCCTAGGTCGACTCAGCCTCAAATGAGTAGCTTGTGCGGTGCGTCAAAACATCGCCACTACGGAGACAAAGGCGGCCGGGCGTGGTGCTGGCCACCCACCCCCTCGTGTACCGTTCCGGCCTTCATAGGTGCTCGCTAACAGCACTTGCCCCAATAGTCTGTTAAGGCTATACGGGGGATCTTTGTCTTTGTTTTGTGTCTGTGTGTACACGTGTGTGTGTGTACACGTGTGTGTGTGTACACGTGTGTGTGTGGGGGGGGGCGGTGGTGTAGTGGTTAGCGCTGCGCTGCGCTATGAACCTGGCGATCCGAGTTCGATTCCCGCTCACGGCCACCACCAAGTGACGATTATCTGAACCGGTTCTGGGCCTCCCCTAGGTCGACTCAGCCTCAAATGAGTAGCTGGTGCGGTGCGTCAAAACAACGCCACTGGGGAGACAAAGGCGGCCGGGCGTGGTGCTGGCCACCCACCCCCTCGTGTGCCGTTCCGGCCTTCATAGGTGCTCGCTAACAGCACTTGACCCAACAGTCTGTTAAGGCTACACGGGGGATCTTTGTCTGTGTGTATGTACTCTATCGGGTTTGTTAACATAGATTGACAACAATTGTCTTAATAGTAACCAAATGAAATAAAACGGTTACCGGTTTTGCATAACATAAGAGACATGCCAAGCAATTGAACCGGAGCGCCGTGCGCTGTGGGGTAAAGTGTCTCACCCCCCTCGCCTCTTGCAACGTCTCCCGTCGGCATGGAAGAGTAGGCCAAATACGGATCGCTATTAGAAGCAAGAGCACGTTTCCGCTTTGTCGAAACAACAATAACAACAATCAATCAAATCGACGCGCTCGTCAGCGAGCACTTAACACCGGAATCCTCACTGTCTGAACCGGTAACCGATTCTGAAAACGGTTAACCAGATGGGCGGCCACACACCCTATGTGTGTGATGTGATGTGTGCGGTGTGCGGATAATCATGCCTGTTGCGTTGGCTGTTCGAGGGTGTGGTCGCAAGTGCTGTTGGTCAACTCAGTTGAGGCTGAGTCGACCTAGGGGAGGCCAGGACCGGTCACTGGGGGGGTTGGTGGTCGTGAGCGGGAATCGAACTCGGCTCGCCGGGTTCGCGGCGCAGCGCAACAACCATTGCACCACCGCTCCGCTGCACACAAAGACAAAGATCCCCCGAGTAGCCTGACACAGACTGTTGGGGCAAGTGCTGTTAGCGAGCACCTATGAAGGCCGGCAAGGCACGCGAGGGGGTCGGTGGCCAGCACCACGCCCGGCCGCCTTTGTCTCTCCAGTGGCGATGTTTACACATCGCACCAGGTACCGCTACACCACCGCTCCCCACAGATGACACGTAGACACACACACACACGTGTAACACACACCCTTGGCGCACCTTTCCCTCCGGGTGCAAGGTGTGGTCGCGATTCTAGGCTTCGATAAGTGTTCACACGACACTAATAACACACACACGTGCACACAAACATCCACACATACACATCCACACACACACACACGTGCACACACACACAAGTGCACACACACACACACGTGCACACACACACGTGCACACACACACGTGCACACACACACACGTGCACACACACACACGTGCACGCACACGTGCACACACACAGTGCACACACACGTGCTCACACACACGTGCAAACACACACGTGCATACAACTACGTGCACACACACACACGCGTGTTAATGCCCTCGCCACACCCGTATAGCGAACCCGACTCAAACTGTTGGGTGTAGGCGTGGAAATCGAACTCTCGTCTCCGTGTTCGCAGCGCAGCGCGCAAACCACTGCGCCACCGCTCCCCACACACACAAAAACACGCGCGTCGATACAACGACAAGGATCCCCCGTATAGCCTACAGCACACGTTTGGGGCAAGTGCTGTCAGCGAGGACCTACGCACGGCACACGAAGGGATGGGCGGGGTGGGGGCATCACCACGCCCGACGATGTTTGTACATCGCCACCAGGTGCTCATTTGAGGCTGAGTGGACCTTGGAGAGGTCCCACGACGAGTTCAGATAATCGTCACCGGTGTTGACCACGAGCGGGAATCGAACTGAGGTCGCCGGGTTCGTAGCGCAGCGTAGCGCTAACCACTGCACCATAGCTCCCCCCCCCATACCCCCCATTCGGCACGAAGTGATGGTGGTTTCACCAGGGCGCCTGTGCCAGGCTAGGTGCACTTTGAGGCCACGTGAAGTATCGATGCTTCGCTGACAGCAGATGTCGGGACGGACCCAGCAGGTGCCATGGGTTGACTGACTGAGATGACTGGTAGATGCACACCAGCTGTACCCCCCACTCTGCCAACGTGCTATATTTTATCCGCCCGGCGCTCCACTCGTTGTTGCGAGCGTCGCTCCTCTGCCCTCCGTTGTTGCCGGAGGGCGACTGCCTCCAACTATCCAGCAGCGTCCTTCACGAGCCTCCTTCATAGAGGCCGATCTTGACACCGCTGGTACCGCTCGTCAGCAAGTCCCACTCAGCTCCACATTCTCCCGTACCACATCACTCCATCTCATCTCTAGCCCGTGCCGTGCCCGTTTAGCCCCCTCTATGCGGCCAAATAGAAGCTGCTAGGGCATGCAGTGGCTTGGTATGTGGGCTACATGACCCAGCCAACGCAGCCTTGCCTGCCGGAGGAGCTCACCGATGGGAAGGTCTCCAGATCTTTCAAGGATCTGTGAGCTCCTCACACAATCCAGCCAGGCTAAACCCAGGATGTATCGTAGGCATGCCAGTCTGAGTGTTTTTAACCGGCGCAGATGTTCCTTTAGAGGGGTCCACATTTCACAAGCCTCGAGAAGGGAGGGCATGACTGTGGCCGAGAAGACCCGAAGCTTCGTGCGGAGCGACAGACCAGGTAGCTTCCACATTGCATTGCGCAGCCGATAAAAATATGCCAGCCGACTGATTCGGAGTGAGTGCTGTCAAACTGGAGCTGGTCATAAGCACACTGCCCAGACATGGGAAACTCTCCACTCTCTCCACAACTGCTCCATCGCCAATGGGGAGCTCAGGGGGTGGAGTTTTGGTGGCACAAAATACCCAGGCAGGTGCTTAGTTTAGGTGGGGCTGATGGTAAGGCCCCACCTCTTAGTGGCACACTCCAGGTTCAGCAGCAGCGCCTCCAACTCCTCCTCTGACTGAGCAGCAATCAGCAGATAATCAGCATACATTACATGGTTGACCAATAGGGAAACACTCGGGAATTAAAGTCCCCTAACAGGATGACTCTATCCCGAGGGCCCACTTGGCTAGCACCTGGGACAGGAGGTTATAGAAGGCGGCTGCCTCAACTGCATCCCTCCACTGGTGTTCATCTTCGGTGAGGCGTAAGCAACCACCACCATTCCTCACCTCTTCTTGAAGGGGAGGCGAGTCCACAGTAGCCTGGGACTTACAGCTTCCCATACCTCACTGCCACGTCCCCACACCCACTTCAATCTTTTGTTCAAAACAAGTGCCACTCCCTGCTGTTTGGTAGTTTCCTGCCCCGAGTGGAGAACTGTCCACCCCTCATGATGACTGGTGCCAGAACTAGTCCACCGAACCTCCTGTATTCCACTGAGGTCCAGGCGGTTACCGGTCCATCTCCCGACAGAGGAGTGGGCAGCCTCTCCTCCGCAACGATAGTCTGAACATGCCACGTGGCCAATCTCAGTGGTCTCCTGTTCCTGGATCTGCCAGATGGAGTTTGGCCAGGCAGCGTCGTGCTACGCCTGTTCCCCTGGCCTCTAGCACCGGCTTAATTTGGTGTTTCCACCGTGGTGCTTGGGTAGAAATAAGTAATATTAAAAACATACTTTTTTAAAAACACGCTTTCATGAAATGTACCCTTCTCGTAATGGCAGAACTCCACGATTCCAGGAAGTGGCCGCAAAGCTTGCCATAACGTAAGGGGCCGTGGTGATTTACAGCCAACGTCAGTTGAGCGTGGACAATTAGACCCAAGCCGAAACATAACATATAAAAACATGTAAAAATATATATACGTTGTTTTTATGATAGAATATAGTATTGTCATCATCATGACATAAGTATACCAAGTTTGCAGTCGATACCACATTGGGAAGTGGGTTAAATTTGAGTTACAAGATATGAGGATACGACAACAACAACAGACAGAGTGAGTTAAATAAAAGCGTGTAATAATAATAATACAATAATAATAAGAGTGCCAGGTGGAGGGGTTAACCAGCTCCTCGTACGCACTGATCTATCTACATACAACAACAACAACCGCCATTCGCCACTAAGCGGCAGTGAAGTCACCACGTCGCTTGTGCCAGGCCATGTGCACGTTAAAGCCACATGAAATGTCGAACGCCCGCTGGCAGGAGAGATCACGGGGCAGACCCAGCAGGTGCCATGGATCGACTGACTCAGATGACAAAGATAAAGATAAAGATCCCCCATATAGCCTTAACATACTGTAGGGGCAAGTGCTGTTAGCGAGCACCTACGAAGGCCGCAACGGTACACGAGGGGGTGGGTGGCCAGCACCACGCCCGACCGCCTTTGTCTCCCTAGTGGCGATGTTTACACACCGCACCAGGTACTCATTTGAGGCTGAGTCGACGTAGGGGAGGCCCAAGACAGGTTCAAATAATCGTCACTCTTGGTGTTTGCCGTGAGTGGGAATCGAACCCGTGTCGCCGGGTTCGTAGCGCAGCGCGCTAACCGCTACACCACCGCTCCCCACAGATGACACGTAGACACACACACACACACGTGTAACACACACCCTTGGCGCACCTTTCCCTCCGGGTGCAAGGTGTGGTCGCGATTCTAGGCTTCGATAAGTGTTCACACGAC